AAAATATCAAACTCTTCCTTTCATTTCTGATTTAAAGCTGTGTTTTAAGCTATTTTAGTGAGAGGCACGACAGCATCACTTCCATCCAAGTCAAAAATATTTATGGTCTTCCCTATTAAGCATAGCTACAGGTAAACATGACCTCCCCTCCCTCCATGGTGTCCTGCAGTGTAAAACTCTGACATCTGGTCTGGAGCCCTGCAGCCCTCCCCAACAGCCCACCCAGCTCCGCCCCTGCACCCCCCACCTCCACTCCCTGTTCCTTATGATTTTGATTGACAGCTTTATAGACTGCAAGGAAATTGGTTGTAGTTACAATACAGCTGGCCTGTTTGGAGTAATGAAAAAGGGCATGTGGCCTTGAGCTGGCTGCACTGATGGTGAGAGAGAAAGTGCCTTGTCAACTGCATGGGTGGCAGCGATTTATTCTCATACTCTGAGGGTTGCAAGAGAAAGTTTTAGAACGGGCAGGTAGCACTTTGATGAAATTACAATTAAATCTTACATTTTGCAACACATCTGCAATGTAGGTGAATGTTGTGTTTTGCAAATATCCATGGCAGTGTCGCTTCTAAACTACTCTAAACTATAAACAGAGGATCAGTTTTCCCCGAGCTGTGCTCTCAACCTGAACCTGATAGACGCTGAGGAACTCACTGACCCTGGTTCAGTGGTTTGTGGCAGGCAGTAGGCATGTCATTATCTTTTAAAGGCAATAAAGGCGCACTATTCTGCTGAGTGCTGTCCAGCCAGTGCAAAGAAACAGGCTGACATCTTACAAATCACAGGGTGTGTTTGGAAAGCTGGGTGGCAGGATGTTGTCTGTCATGGACACTTTTAGTCTGTTGCTCGATGAGAACACCGAGCAAAGGTAAAAAGGCTCATGCAGGAGTTGCCCATGTATGCAGATTGTAATGTGGCAGTCAAAAATCAAATTTGGGTTTTTACGTAATTTAACGAATGTAGTTTCATTCAACAATCTCTGAGTGCATGAAGGTTCTTTAAAATGCAGGTTTTAGTGTTAAAATCAAAAATTTCACACGCTTATATCCTCTCAAAAACTAACATGCAACCTCTTTGTTTGCATTTTAAGGCATTCATCCAACTCCCTAATGGATAGCAGTGTGTAAAAAAACGCTGAAAGTTGAAATATCTGTGACCACCCCATGGATGTTTGTAGGTGACATGGTTCATTGAGTTCTAATGTTGTTAAGGTCTCTTTCACCAGCACTCCCCTCTGTTGCTGGAGGACCCCGGGTCACCTAACCAACACCCCCCCCCTCCTCTGGCCCTGCCTTACCCTTTCGCCCCCCCCTCACCTCTAGCTCTCTCACAAACACTCCGAGTTGCCGGAGGGAGAGAGAGGAGGGAAATAAAAAGTTCCCTCTCTCCAGGACTAATGGACTGTTCCGCCGTGGCTCTTTGCCCAGACTGGGTGACAATGAACCGGATATATACTGTACGACAACGCTTTTTTTCATGTGTAAAAGGGGATTTACAAAAGGGAATTATTGATTCCTCTGATCCAGTCCTTCTTTTCCATCCAACTGTCCCTCCCACTCCAGATTTCCATCCCTCACTCGTTCCCTGAAAGGCTTGTCCATCATCACCTGCCGGCAGAGCTAAATCCTCTGAGTGTATACTCTCTTCTACATGAATGATTGCTTTGTTGACATGACTGCATGGGACACACGCAAACACGCCCATGCACTCCTGCCAGATCCAGGGCCAGATTTACACCTTCTTTCTAAAAAATGGAGTTTAAGAATAAATATGCACGAAGCATCACATGGTGTGTTGATACAACTCCAGATCCAGACAAATGGTTGTTGTTGTTTTTACCTTTGAGGCCTCAGACACCTTGAAAACCATTCAACTTTGGACTTGTGGTGCTTCTGTGTGTGTGTCCAACAATATGCTATAACGAACAAGTACTGTTTGCCAGATTGACCTCAAAGCAGCTGGAGATTCCCAACTGCCAAGAACTGATTGACAGCAAATGACTGTAGAACAACTTTGTGTCTCAGATTGTAAATAGCCTGATCATGCTGATGATGAATTTACATTTGAAGTCTTAAGACAACAACAAATCACTGCTTACTTGCATCATTAGACATTAAAACAAAATTGGTGCGGGTAGTGTGTTTTCACTTTCAAAGGCATTTAGTTAAAACTAAAGCCAAACCAGCTAAACTTTGCTGTTTTGTCCCTCACTGTTAGGACTATCATGTGAGCTTCAAATAAGGGGATCAACATTGTCGGGAAGAGATGTGCTTATTCGCTTTTTAAAAACTTTTTTTGAGAGTTAAATGAGAAGATCGATACCACTCACCCACTTTTTTTTTTTATAACTTAAAATACCGCCAGGAGAGGCTTCGCTTGGCATAACGCCTGGAAGCACTGGGAAATTAAGCTTGCCGTTTTCATAATTGTTGTTCCTGCATGGATGAAACAAACAAGACAATACACGTTAATTAGTAAAATACATGCAATGGTATGACTGTATGTCCTAATAATTCATATTTCTCTTCTATTCTATTCTGTTCTATTCTGTCAGCAGTCTCAAGGTGGGTGGTTTCGGGCGGTTTTGGTGCTGGAGCTCAGTCCCACCCTGGGACCAGTTTGACTTGGCTGGCTGCTTTATCTCCCACAGAGGGAGTGCGTTCTCACTACAAGAGTGATCCAGAAGAATGTGAGGTCCAAGTCCCTAGTGGTCAGACTTACAAAAACTCGCAGTTAAAGCGCAGTTGTGCAGGCTGCAATGGTGACTAATAAGAAAATAGCCCTTATGAGAAATATGCTCGGCATCTGACGAGTTGGAGAGCAGGGATGCACGGTTGTCTACAAATTCTGAGCATATCTGTGCTGGGTAGTGTTGCAAGTGCATCCGTCTTCTGTTTCTCCCTCTTTTCTCCCAGTCTCTCTCAGTTTGTTTGCCTGAGAGTGATAACAGTTTGAATTCAGCAGTCTGAAATAATTTCTAATGATCAAAGAAGGTTAGAGCATTAAGTGGATGAATTGTGAAAGAAATGATAATTGGGAAGGAGGTGTTAGTCGAAAGTTATCAAATGTGCAACTGGAAGTTACTTTTGACATGCTGTAAGTGTGCACTTAGATACATACTTACATACATTTATATTTTAACTATTTACATGAAAATCCACACACTTTATGAATCCTCATGATCACATTTTGAGCCATGTGATCTCTTATCTCAAATTCAGTTTGTCTTTGGTTTCTGACCCCTGGTTCATAATACCCTGTCAAACTAAAGACAATCAGCTGTACATTGTGTTTGGTGCTGTTTGGCAAATGTTAGCACGCTAGCAAGCTAAACTAAGATGGTGAACCTGGTCAACGTTACACCTGTTTAGTATCAGCGTGTTAGCATGCTGCCTTAGCATTAAGCTCAGCGTCATAGAGCCACTAGCATGGCAGTAGACTCAGACTCTTGTTCTGATATTGAACATATGTTTTTACATATGGTTGCATTCCAAAATGGATGTGTTTTTTTTTCACACCCAAGTGTTATATTATTCATACATGACATGTGTGCAAAAGCTTTTGTCAGACACATTTTCTTACACACTACTACAGCTCTCCAGGAATCCTAAGAGAGAAAGGGGGAGAGAAGAAGAGCGAGGGAGGCCGAGTGCCGTAGAGGTCCAAATACAGCGAGGGAACCACATCCAATTCTTAGAAACAGATGACATGATTCACTATGCATTCAGCTGCTTTCAAAGGCTTCTGCTGCAAGAGCCAAAGATTGTATCTCTCTCGCAGTCTGCAGTAAAAAGCTCAAGAAACTTGCCAAGATTGTTATTACTGCTGGCTGTTGTCGCTGCATTCAGACAACAGTCTAAACGAAATGCTGATGTGTCATTTGTAGTATTTTTCACTGCCTCATATTTCTTCTGTGCGGTGAAGATTCAGACCACCCTGCTCAAGCTCGAGATGTACGGCCCGAAACAAGTAGGTTAATTACAATATAGTCAGAAAAGAGGAAATGCATTTTGCCAAGGACGAATAGAGAGAGAAAGTGAGCAGGAGAGAATAAAGTAAAAGGTGTAATCAAGTCATAGGGAAGGGGCAAATACAAAGTTTGGGAGTAAAGACAGATGGAAAATGGCGGGAGGAAGGGAGTGCAGGGGGGGGGTTGCAGGATGGTTGATGGTGGATGGGAGTAGCCGTATGAGAGTAATTAGAGTGACTGATGTTGTTTACTCCCATTTCCCCCCGCATCATTTATTCTGTGGAGGTGGAAAACCCACCCACCCTTTTTTTGCGTTACAGAAGAGTGCTACGGAGCGGTGCCAAGCCGACACGGCTTGATCTCTCCTCTTCCGCTTATCCTGCCCTCTGCTTCTCTCTTTCCACCCTCCTTCACCTATGTTCTGCTTCAATCGGACTTCTCTTCTTTTTCATTTTCTTTACCCCTCCCAGCTCCCTCTTTCCGTTCTTTTGTTTTCATTACTGCCTGTGTTGACACGGCTGTGTGTGACTGCTGTGATGGGCCGAGCATATGTAAGATGTTAGCAGGATGTACGGCCGTTTACACTGAAGATGACAAACTGAGGTTGGATGCTGTCATCCTTTCTTCCTTTTGTTTAATGTAGTCCTGTGGCATGCACGGACACACACACACACACACACACACACACACACACACCAGATGAGTACATACCACCCACCTCTTTGTTTAAACTATGCTGTTTGTCTTTGCCAGAAAACATGCAACAATGTATGGAAACAGATGCGTCATCTAAGACACAAAGGGGGGCAGAGGAGGGAAAAAGAGACAGAGAGAACCCACAGCTAAATATTTTCATCTGTGGCCGGGAGTGTTGAGCGA